AGAAACAAATAAGGGAATAAAAATAGAATTAATTGAGAGGGTTTAATTAAAAAATAATTAAAAGTATCATGGGTCAATCTGAGAATAATAAGAAATGCGGAAGAAATTAGACAGAATTAAAAGCCCAATCGGTAAAATGGAGGGGCCAAATTGCAACAAATTAAGGGATATGATTGAAACGAAATGAGAACATATGGGGCTCGTACCTAAAGAAGGCACTAGAAAAGAGGGAATAACTAAAAAAAAAAAAACTTTAAATGTCCAAACTCCCCCACACGTGTCCTCTCATCATGTCCTAAAACGGTAACAAAACCAATCCTCTTGCCACCTTGCCACCCCCTCCTCCATCACCTCAAATGGTTATCCATTTAGCCCTTCTTCCATACGTTTTAGGGATGCCAAAGTGACTGTCATGAGAAGACAACTCGTGGCAGCAACCACATTTAGCAGCTAAGAAGTGACAAGAGAAGAGCTTCTCTATCACTTCAAAAGGAAGGGTAAGGATTTATTAATGTAAAATGAAGGGTTGAGATGGACAAAAATAAGATGAATATAAAGGGAAGCAAGGAAAAAACGATGGGAGACGCAAAAACAAAAATAACAAAATGAGCCAGTTGCTGCTCGGCAAGTTTTAGAGAGAAAAAGAGATAAGCGAGCTCGAGAGGAAGGAAAAGAATGACAGACGGTAAAATTGCAAAGTGTGGTGAGTGTTTAGGAAGGAAAAAGAGTAGAAGAAAACAAAGGAAAAACGGGAAAATCCGCCCCAAAGGGAGCCACTCAGCAAACAAGGTCATGTCAACCCCTCACATTTCCAATGTTACTGTATCTTCATGATGTACAATTTTCAACTCAATTCTTCTTTTATGTTGCTGTCTATATATCCATGTTTGGTGTGTAAAAATTTCACGTCATTTAAATTTTGTTCTAAGCTTGAGAGTTAAGTCCAAAATAGGGCTGTTGGTAATGAAAAAAACGTATCTTTTTTTTTTTTTTTAACATGAGCGGTACTATGAGAAATTTATTGAATGAAAGATGAGAAAACAAAGAAGGGACAATCCAGCCTAGCACATTAAATAGAAGGATAAGAAAGCCTATATCCCGCAATAGTTAACATAGAAAGTTCCTGAAAAACCACAAAAGCTAAAAAAATGACTAATTTACATTGCTCTCTGTTAATTCACTGGAAGCTAAATTTTGAGAAGCCTTCACGTAAAAAACATGCATAAACGGTGACTAAATAGTCCCATGCATGGCTTTTGTAAACCTTCCTTTAGCATTTTTTGTATCTCTCCCAGCTACCCAAACTTCACTCTCAGTGCCCGAATCTCGACATCCCCCATCTGTCCTCCCTTAACGCAACTCTTACAGCTACTGGAGCTACAAATTCTTCTCCATACACTAATTGTCTTCGGTGGGAGTATGCTTGGATTGCCAAGCTGTCTGCTACCCCATTCCCCTCCCTAAAAATATTCCCCTAGCAGCAACCTGCATTTGTGAATAGTATAAGTGAACCTCCAAGGAATTGCTTGATCACCAGTTATAGAATCCACCAGAATTTTCGAGTATATTTCCACACTATCAACCTGAATATTCCTATCTCTGCATAACTTCAGACCCTCCATCAACGCCAACACTTCACCCTTGAGGCTAGACCCTGCTCCATATAATGATGAAAAACCCAGCAGCAGCTTCCCTCGCCAGTACCACACCGCCTCCTGCACATACTCCACCTCTGGAGGACCCATCACAATTTAATTTGTAGGTGTGAGTTGGAGGGGGGATCCATGCAATCCATTTTCCTCTTGATAATGCAGGAGCAATCAACGGGATACCTAGAGCTTGTAAACATATCTGGTCATGGAAGTTTAGAAAAATAACCTAGTCTTTTCTATTTGAAGTAGGAATTGTCCAAATCAAATTTATTCTATTTTGATTAATTTTTTTAGAGTGATTCTTTATTTAGAGTGTAAAAGGCCATTCCCTTTACATCCATAGTCATTTTTTAACTTAAAAAGTTTCTAGAGAATTTAGGAGTTAAGCCCAAACTAGGGCTATTGGTAACAAAAGACCGCAAAAAAAAAAAGTTTATTTCAGTTTGAACTAGGGATTTTCTAAGTTGATTTTCTTCAAGTTTCAGCAGCCTTTGAGACTGATTATTTAGTTGAGGGTGTAGAAGGTCATCCCCTCTACACTTCACAATTATTTTTAAGATCAGAAAATACCTAAAAAACTCCAGAGAGAGACCCAAAATGAAACACCAGATAATATAAAAAATAAGACACTCGAATTTTGAGTTAGGTAATTTTGAATATAATTGGTAGTTTTATAATTTTAAATATAAATGACTTTTTCCGTGTGTCAGCCTATGATTGGAGAATTTTTGGGCACCATAGGTCAGAATAGTTGTCCTAAGGATAGCCAAGGGTTTTTTTTTTTTCCTTTCTTTCTTTCTCTTTACATATAAGGATAAGAAGTTAAAACTAAAAATTTTGTTATAATTGTTTAGTCTTTACTTTCAATGCATTAGAATTGTTGATTTATCTTTGCAACTTAATTATGAGTTAATATTTCAAAGTGCGACTGATTTGCTGTAGTACATAAACCTAGGTCTAAGGCCCACATCATTAAAAAGATATAAGGTTGGTTTTAATGCCTTGTGATAGATTTTGTGATTGATATTTTGAATTATTTAGGACAAGTGCAAATCCTTATGTACCTTTTTTTGCTCGAATATTTGAATGACAATGTTTTAAATTACTATGAGCACATATTTTAAAATTTGATTTCTTGAATTTTACGAGAATGCTAAGGAAATCGTGATTCTGAAGCCAAGTATTGTTCAAAAACCTTTGATTTTTGAATTTAACAGTCCTAAACTATTTTTCCTAAATTTCTTGAGAAATCACAATTCTAAAGTTGTGTATCATTCAAAAATCCTTGATTTTTAAATTTAGTGGTCCAAACGGCGTTTTTTCTAATTTTTTCTAAGAAATCATGATTCTGAAGTCGCGTATAATTCAAAAACCCCTAATTTTTTAATTTAGCAGTCTCGAAGTTGTTTTTCCAAAATTTCTTAAAAAATCGCAATTTCAAAACTGTGTATCATTCAAAAATCCTTTATTTTTTTAATTTAGCAATCCTGAAGCTGTTTCTCTTTCTAAATTTTCTTGAGAACTTGTGATTCTAAACCATATCATTTAAGAATCCTTGATTTATGAATTTAACCATCTTGAAGTTGTTTTTTCTAAATTTTCCCAAGAAATTGCAATTTCAAAGTCGCATATGATTCAAAAATCCTTGATTTTTGAATTTAGCAGTTTCGAAGCTGCTTTTTTTAAAATTTCCAATAAAATCACGATCTGGAAGTCAAGTCTTTCAAATTCTTTTATTTTTTAATTCAATAGTATCAAAGCTATTTTTCTAAATTTTCCTTAAAAGTTTTAACTCTAAATTTGTATACATTTTAAATCTTAATTTCTAAAATCTCGTGTCAATTTCAAAACTATTTTTTCTTGATTTTTCCTGAATCATCGCATCTAATCAAAGCTTGCACACTTCAAAACCTGGATGCTCCAAAAATCAATGATGTTTAAATTATTTTCATTCCTAAGTACTTCCAAGGAAACATAACTTTCGAGTTCACATCCATATCAAAATTTTGACTTTTCTTTCATTTTTTTTGGTATTTAAATAGTCTTTTTTTAGTTTAATCCTAAGTTTCCCTAGAGTAAGCACTACGCCAAAAAGGGTATTGCGGACGATTTTTTTGTCTTCTGAGGCGGTTTTAAAGACCGCCTCAAAACCGCCTCGCAATGCCGCCGTCTCTAGAGTGTAGAGGCCGTTTTGCCAACCGCTGGGGAATTCTAAGGCGGTTGCTAGAGGCGGTTGAACCGCCTCAAAATAATTTTTTAAGGCGGTTAAAACCGCCCCTATATCAATTTTTCTTGTTTTAATTTTTAGCACATAGGGGCGGTTGGTAACCGCCTCTAGATTCTTGGGATTTTTTATGTTTTAATATGAAGAATGATTCTTGTGCTTTTTTATATTTTAATATGAAGAAATAATTTAGGAGGAGTACCTCTAGTGTTTTAGTTTTTTTTTTACCCTTCAAATCTAATAATTCTACTTCTTCTTTTTGTCAAAAAAATTAAACATTGTTGAATCCAAATAAAAGATATATAGCTTTATGATTGAGCACAATCTATCTAGATTTCCAATCAATGTAGCTTGAACTATACCTGAATAATGTGAAGACTTGAAACTTCTCATTCCTCTTCAAAATAATTATGAATACAACATGAGTTTGAATTAAAGAGTAAATAAAAGAAAATACATGATTTCTCATTTTTAACCAAGCACACCATATCTATTCTAGAATAGATAAACATTAAGCTCGCTCTATCCGAGTAAATGATGATTTTCATAATCTCTCATGAGGCTCTTCAAGTAAACCCATGAAAGAAGCGAGTCTTCAACTTCCAAGTTGGATCTTTATAATCAAGGCCTCCTTGACTTCTCTTATAGCTCCTGTGTAAATCTCTTTTGATCGAAACAACAAATAACAATTGATGCTATTAAGACTAGTCTTTTATTCCGAGTTGTCATATAGTTGATTCCTTAGTTGAGGATCAAATTACGTACCTCGAGAATAAAAGCGATCGATATTTTTCAAAGATCGATAAATGATGGAGTATAGAATTGCTCTTGTACTACAAGAGCTTGTAATTGATTAGCAAAAGAACTTAAAAAAATAAATAAATCGAGTACATTCTAATGACTAATGCTTGAATAACTAATGGTTAAAATTATCAATGGCATAATAACCTTTCATGGTACATTTCTAATTTTTTTATTATCCTTAATGCTAGTGAGATATAATATATATATATATATATATATATATATATATGTATGAGAAATGTACCATGTAATTTTTTATATGAGAATTGATTAGGTCTCTCAGCTTTAATGCGGTCGGTATGACTCTCCAAACTATCATGCTACTCCCGAGATGGATTACTCCACCTTTCGACTCTTCCGTAGATTGTTTCTACAAGTTTATCATCATGAAGAAGTCGGTTTGATAATGACTTTAGAAAAGGGGCAAAAGAAACATTCCTAGTTTGATCCAAAGAAGTTTCAGTCCGAAATCGTATTTCAATATAATTTTAAAATCTAACTAAGGATTTCCACAAGGAAATTGCAAACTTCAACGACCTCCGTAATTGCCATCAATTTGAGTCTACAAAATATAAAAAATCTTAAAGATGCCTAGACCTTCGGTTGCCCTACAATGTATGTGATCGAAGGGCATCTACACTACTAATAGACATTTTAAGACTTTAATTATTGACAATGACGGAAAAGAAATGTTCCAGCTCTAAACTTTCGGACATTCCAAAGTACAAGTCCGTAATTATAGAGGTACCAATGCTTGTATAATGGCCACATATATTTCGAAATGCATTTGACGAAGGCATTTGACTACCGATAATTGGACATTGTTCTCCACTAAACTTGTATGCTTGAAAAGGTTATGAGATATTAGAATATGCAATTATCAAAAGAAATGTAATAGTTTCAACTTGTATTTGAAAAAAAAATGAATTTTCAAGAAAATTTTAATAAATCAATCTCGAAATTGACACGAGCTACAATTTGCCAATGTCACCGTAGTACTTTTATAGTCCGTTAAAGTTTGAATCTTACATACACGAGAAAAGAAAATCTAGGTACAATTAGTTCAACAAGTTCTATTTCGATGGCGGGAGATGTGTTCTTTTCTTGTTTGTCGAAACCATTGTTTAAGATATTGATTCGAGCATATAATCAAACCAGCTGAAAATGGCTAAACGATAGAGTAAAATGTTACCTATTTTGTTTCCATAAGGATTGTAGCATCCTTCACACCAGCATCCATTACGAGCATCCAACTCTAGCCTTAATATACGGAATTGTTACATAAAAATGAATTTCTCTTGGCAATACTTAAATAAAATATTACATGGAAATTCATTCTTTTCGCAAGAGAAACTACGTAAATCTCATAAAAAATCTCACTAGCATCGACCATGTGCATTATATATATATATATGAACATGGTTATATTATGTATGTTTTTCATACAGGTATCAAGAATTTATATATAAAAAAATCTGGTTTTCTTTCACAAAGCATGAATAACACCGGATCGTAGTTAATTTTAAGCATGGCTTCCGCCAAATGAAGGCGGATATTAAAAAAAAATCTCAAGTAAAATACCTTATAAGCAACATGGCTTCTACCAACTACTTTCTCGGAAATTCCTCCCTTCTTTTTCGATCCTTTCTCTATTTTGAAACCAAATGTCAATATAATATACATATGTAACAAAAACCATACCCGAACTCTTGCAAAAAAAAAAAAAAAAAAAAAAACCGAGCATCCTCTCGTTTTACAAAGGTCAACTTTCAAGGTGATCTCTGCAAAATAGCATCCACATTATATTATAACATATGGCCGTAAATTATACAATTGTAGTAATTCGAAGCAAATGAAATATATGTAGCAAGTCGGAGGAAACACGAAGCAATATCTTTTGATATGAAAAAAATCACATCATTTGAGTATCGTTTGTGTGAAGAAATGTAACCCATCAAATCTATAGGAAGTATTTGCAGTCCAAATGCCCAAAAGGAACACATTATGGAAACAAGAATGCGAGAGACAAACCTATGAGAAAAGAAAATAATTCTGCTATTTTAAGAACCCATAAAAAAGAAAAAAAAAGGGAACATCGATCACAAACTAATTAGAGTCTAAATCCAAAGAAAATGAAACAACCCGGATAAACTATTTTTACAAGTACATTGATTACCTCAAAATTATATGCTAAATTGTGGCAGTCTCCTAAGAAAATGGCTTAGCTATTCTCATATCTTCCATGCCTTCAATCTCGATTAAATTTTGACACCCCGTAACAAATAATCTCGGTCTTGTTTTGAATGAAATTAACACTTTTTCCAATGATGTGCAACCCGTTGCTTCAATTCTTTCTAAACTTGGGTGAATTTTTTAGACTAATAGCGGATTTGTGTAGTTGGGATTAATGAAGAAGAAAAAGAAGAAGAAGAACCCTAATAAAATAGATTGAAGAAAAAGAAGAAGAAGAGAAAACCTAAATAATCACAATTGGAATGTGCTTTTCTTATGAAATAATCGAATTGAAAGAAGAAGAAAAAACATAGATCCGAAACATGTATAGAAGTCGAAGGGATGCGAGAAATAATGAAGCGGTTTTTATTTTTACTTTTTCAAAACTCCAAAAGGAAAACAAAAAGAAAGAGAAAAAAATGTAGGTCAGGCGATTGGTTGAAGTGAGGCGGTTTTATCAACCGCCTCTTATTCGTTTATGGATAAGCCGATGTGTAGATAAAATTATTAAATCCTTTGGCAATTTTTTTAAACGCCTCAAAAATTTCGCCTCTATAATGGATTTTTGTTGTAGTGAAGGATAAGACTTCGACCAACCTAATCCCGAATCACTCAAATAATCAATAACTAACATGATGACAAACACATTAATTGGCATAGGCATTCATCACATTAGAAACTAGAGATTAAGATTAAACACATGTGATGCAACCTACTTTAGGTTACATAAGTAGGTTGGATGAGGGTATGGTGACTTATTTGTTCTCTCGTACGTAACTAACTCTTTACCCTATAATTCGGAATAAACTAGTCAATAGGTTCCTATTGATCGTTAATACAAGGTGGCGAATCCATTCCTTGACCTTAAATTTCTTTTGATAAATCATTAAACATCATCATTCAAACTAATGAACTTGAAAAAAAAATAATGTACACTTGCGAAAACCATGTTAGTAGATCCTATCATTGCTAAGAGTGCATATGATGTCATGATTTACGAGTTCGAAGACTTAACAACAACTTTTTTGATCTTCTTTAAATACATACCATGTTCTATTTTTAGGCAACTTCAATGAGATCATCATATTGAAATGAGAGATAACTTTACAAGCCCTCATAGCATCGAGATTCAAAAGCATAGGCATAAAATGACAACATGCTTTCACTCGTCAAAGAAAAGGCTAGGTAGGCTCCCATTGTTCATCATCTCATGGCATATTATCCCACAAGCTAATCACAAATTCATTTCATATATATATGCCCTCATTCGAAGTTGTTTGGGCATCAATATCGTGGTTCTTCATCATATCATTGATCATTCAAAATTTTCCTTTCTTTGAAATTGATCATCCAAGAATCAGATCATATGCATATTTTCTTTAAATCCTATCAAATATTTATTGGAATTGGAGATATCGAATCGATTTATTCATCTTATAGAAAAGATAGCAAAAATTTTCACTTGCATCAAAGTATAGGAGGAGAATGCCAACCTTAAATCAATATGATATGGAGATTTATGATGAATAGCAAGACTTGGCTAGATTTAGTTGTGGTAAAAACCTTTTTTAGATAAATGAATGCCACTAAAAGAGAGCTAATACACAACGAGAGGTTGTAGATATAATGAATCATTAAGAGGAAATGATTAAGCTACACCTTAAAAGTGAACGAGTCTAACTAGATCCTCGGTAATTGGATTTTTCTTGATGAATCTAAGTGAAGAGCTTTCTCAAGAAAACTAAATAGGCATAATATCTTGTTTTCCAAAAACCCACATCGGGTTGAAAGTTATATCCAATTCAAATTTTGTTTCAATTTTAACATTTAACTAAGCTTTGATGTAACCGACTCCTTAAGAGGATTGAGCTTTTTTAAGTGCCATCTATATTTTTTTTATTTTTGTATAAAAAAGGTGAGGAACCAAAGCAAATATATTGTAAAAATGACAAAAGCATTCATTTCTTTTTAAATCTCTCTTCCACTAGGCCACTTGTAATAGGTTTAAAGATGTGATGAACTATATTAGTAACCTTTCCAATGATTTCAATTGAGGAGAATTATTCTCATTATAGATTGGTTTGTACTATTATGAACTTCTTTTATTTTTCATCTTAGAGTAACCATCGGACGTCACATTTTTAGATAATATCAAGATCTACTAATGTAAGGGAGGTTAGAACATTTATAGAGATTTTTTTGCCAATGAACTATCGACAAGGAACTTCGTCGCTTGGCTTAATCAATAAATTCATTCTATCTTAAAATCATTCATCATGTCATCATCATTAAACATCATTCATCATTTTTAGGGAAAACATCAAGGTCATCAATGATCAAAATTTGTCAAATATGTACATAAAGTTTGATTTATTCGTAACAACTATGCTTCATAAGATGAAAAATATATACGAGTTTTGATTCATACAATGACTTCACTATAATAATTCTCACACTCTAAGGACTTTTCGATATCGAGTTATCTTTTCCAGTAGTTAATTACATCATTTTATGTATGATGCAATGGTTTCATCTCTAAAATTCTTCTCTCCATTATTGATGCATTGTTTTACACCTCTCGAAACTTTGGCTTCTTTGGTCACCGTTATAATTTGAGCTTCCTATCGCTCCATACTAACCATTTGTGCTTCACTTGCTTAGACCAAATGATTGTTAGTTTTTTTCTAGTATATAGAACACCTTTGATAATCATTTAACAACCTTTGTTTCTCTTTTTCTAACTCGGTAGTCTTCTTTTCAACGATAAGTTGTTCTTTGGACTCATCAAAATCATTGAGTATCCCTTTTAAGACATCTTTCAAACCTTTTTTTTTTTTTTTTGCTATTTGAAGTTCATCTCTATCCTTTCGAAAAATATCTAGTTCATCACAATCTTGTTCATTTAGCACTTCAAATTGCTAATATCAATGTTCTTTTTTGCCAATTCAGCTTGAGCTTGATGGCATGAGTTTCTCTAACCTTTTTCTTCAAGGGCCATGTCTAGCTATTTTACACATCCTTTTCTAGCTTTTAAATTTTATCTTCGACTAATTTCTTTTCTCTTTTTGACCTAGGAAAATAATCCGAGTAGGTTTTGTTTCCTAGCTCTAAGTTGTTCACACTCTTTCTTCATTGCATCATTTTCTATAAGAACTTTTTTTAGTCTTCTTCTACCTTTTTTTTTTTTTTTCCTTTTTGATAGATAAAGCGAATGTAACTTCTAATGGTACTTAAGAATTCCTAAGCCTAGGAGCAATTGCTCGCCTCTTGGTTAGCAATTAGGTTTGGATAATAAGATCCATCTAACTTAAATTCAAATTACTTAGTGTCTAAAATCCTTCACTTTAGTGGTTACCATTGTAGATATGCTTCTATTTTGGCTATCTCTCGACCATCTATCTTCTAGCCAACCATTCTACATACTACCCAGTCTTCTCGAAGGCCTTTTAGAAACTAAAGTGAAGCATCATTCTTTAAAAAAGTTTTAAAGTTTGCTAAGCTGATTGTTATTGGAATGTATTGCTCATAGCCAAGTTGTCAAGATATCATGCTAAGTGCATACATAGCATATCCAATTGCTCTAATAAAAGGAACCCAAGGATATCTTTCATAGTTAGCCAAATATGAGACTTGATTCATCCACATAGCTTTTCATTTAAAATAAAAAGGCATTTGGTAGCTCAAGGAATAAGGAAGCTCATTTTTGTTCAAAGTAATTATTCTATGTTGTGGATGTAAATTCTCTCAAAAGCTCTTGGTCTTTCCACAATATGGATTAAAATATTGACTTGTGTGCTTCCATGTGACTAATAATCCATATATACAATAGTTATATATAACATCTCATTCCATCCTTTTCAACCCTTTGGAAATGGTTTAAAGATAGAATTGTTTCGGGAAAAATACTAGTAGTAAGACTAAATGAGCTCTTTTTTATCTCAATGAAGACATTGGCTATATCTAAACTAATTACACCAATAATAGATGAAAACAAAATTAGTACAAAAATTCATAATGCTAGAATCCTTAACTTCTTTGAACTGGTTTTGGTATCCTTTAAATTTTTCATAAACACATCAAACCAAGCACTATAGCGCCAAACCTCAATTGAACCTTTAACTCATGCTTGACTCGTATCTTCACTAAGCCAGTCTTGAACTCTTTTAACCATCTCATCATATCGATGGTAAAGGTACACATGGTATAAAGAATTTGAAATCTAAAGCAATTAATGATACTCTTCCAAAGTAAGAGTTACATTAGTTTTTGTAATAACAAACATCGGTATGATAGGTCCCAAAATAGAGTAGAGGCTTTCAACATTAGTTTTTGAATTGGTATCTCCAATAGTGTAGATAAATTCTCATAGTTGTTATTGAACCTTTGTTGATCAAATAAAGTCAAAAGCTTTCAACATTCTACAAGTTTACTAGCATCATTGACAAATGGCTAAAAATGAGTTAAAACTCAAAGGTT